CAGGAATGCCTCTGTTCCTGACGTCCCAACCTGATTAAGTCTATGAGAATCTATTGTTCTTTTCCAAAACTCATCCTCCACCCGTGACACACTGGGGGGGGTTTCTGCAGATGTGGTGGGAATTTCCATCCTCGGCATGCCTCAGTTTTAGGTGACTACTGTACTCTCTAATGCCCTCTGCCAATATTTTAGAATATTTGTGACTTCTGCAGAAAAGGAGCACTGCTAGGGACTTCCTCTCGGCCCCTCCTATTACAATGTCCCTCTCCTCAAGGGCTAGAACTGGGGTTCTGCCAGTTGCCTACTCAGGTTTCCGAAAGTTGGTGAAACAACCACAGGACAATTGGTGTTCTCAAACGCAGCCTCGCCCATGCTCCACCGATTCCTGACAACTCACGTCCCAGTGCGGCCAGCAGATCCTAAAAGGTGGGCTTCTCTCACGATTTAGCACTTTAGAACCAGCATCCAGAGACCTAAAAATGACCAGGTATTTCCCTTTGCCACGACAAAACTGTCTTGATAAGTGAAGACGTTTCCCTTGAGGGAAAGCTAGCAGAAGCACATTCATACTGCAATCACGTGAGCCCTTCCTTGTGAGACTGTAGCCTCCTTGCTTTTAAAAGCTCTCAAGAGAACCCGTGAGATGTGTAACTCCACTAAGGCTGCTTAAGGGAGACAGCTGTGCATTAGACTTTAAAAAAATGTGACTCGATTATTATCATAAAACATTTACAATTTCAGTAGAGGAGAATTATGATTGAAGAAGTGTCCCTGACAGAGTTCAGTGTAGATAAATCCTCTGGCCCCTACTCCAGTGTAGAAACCTCAGCTGTCTGGTGGCAAGCGCTGTCCCCCAGCCTCTGGAGCTTCTTGCAGGGCATCCAAAGAGCGTTACATGGCACAACCATCCCTCATCCACAGAAGGACATCGTGATATATTCACGAACACTGAAGTATTTCTCAATGCCTCCTCTCTCTCTGGGTGAGCCAGTAAGCAGTGCAGTAGATGCTCAAATGGATTCTGACTGATCCGCACCAGCAGTTTCGTTTATACATCAGTTTCATTTAGTGAAGACTACTATTGGGTCCTGGCTTTGGCTAGCCTGTCGAGCAAACTGTCTAGAGAATCATCTCAGATATTCAAATGGAATGTTGACTGGCGCCTATGGCAGCTGCACCCACATTAACGTAGTTAATCATATCCATAGTATGCTGCTTCTTGCTGAATCTAAAACCATCACACTGTGTTCCCCAGTTGCTTTCCAGGGTTCTAATAATAATATTAATCTTTCAGTCCTTCAGGGTGTTCACCATAACCTCCTAGATCAAATCCTATGCCCCAGGGTCTATTGGTCTCTAACTTTAGCTATGGGCCTAAGAACCACAAGAAATGGTAGGGCTACATGTCTGTAACTGTGCCAGGGTCTTAAAGCAAGAAGAGGATAATTTTTTAAAGGAAAAGGAAACAGCTCAGTGGGACTTAGAAGTTTGTGATTTTCAGAATGATTGGAACCTGCCCAAATGTCCTCATTTCAAATTTTGCTCTTTCCCAATCAATGCCCTAACTTTTACATAAGAGACCTGGCAAGTCTGTGAATTCCATTTGGGTTATAATTATCCAACCTACAGGATGGAAAAATTATACATTAGCCATATGGCTACAAGAGGTATTTTTAGGACAGTCCTGGAAATCTCCTCATCACAGAAACTTGAGCTGAGGATGGGAAATCGTAACCTTTTCTTTAGAGGCAGATAGTCCACTCTGTTGTTCTTTCGGTCTTATTATTTCCTCTCTAAACCCCATTGTAATGGTTAATAGTCTTGTAAAGGCTTTTCTCTATAAACCCTTCACTCCAGAGAGCTACAGGTAATCATCTAGACACTGTATTCAGAATACGGGGATCCCATTTTCCACTGGTCTTAATTGATCAGTCTAACGGAGGCAGTTAACCGAATCTCAGAGTCATATCTCAGGGTTGCTACAGCTTTTAGTGACCTCTGGAACCAGATTCTGATAAAGTCAGAGTTCCACCTGGAAAGGGCTTGCCTCTCTAGGTTGAGCCAGGGAAAGCTGATTAAACACAAAGGGAATGAAGCTTGAAAAACTATTGTGAGGACCTGGGCAGCCCAGGATCAAGGAAGAAACATTAGCAGCTTGGAGCAAATTTGGAAATTCAGGAACCACAGTATGTTACTGGTAAGTGCTTAAAGAAGTAAAATAAGCAATTCACAAGAGCTCACCCACAAAGAGCATAAAACTTCATGTTTCCGATAAAGCCAGGCGACCGCCCGCCACAGCTGAGGGAGAATAATGGCGTATCCTATTTTTTGCCTTCCAAATATCATGCAAGTTTCCTTGCACTAGCAGAATCTAAATGAGGCCACATGGTGATTTAAACAATGTATTCTGCAGGCTTCCAGGCACCAGAGTGTAAGAAGTTTGGATGGGTAGACACAATATTGGATATCAGCAGCCAATATTTGACACTGGTATATAACAATGCACTTCTCAAAGGTATTTTAAAACCTGTGACCAAAATTATCTATAAATAAGCACTCATTTCTTTGCCATTCCAATAAGCCAAGGATTTTAGTGTTCTCATGGTTTTCATTTTCTCTTCTCCTATCTGAATCAGTTACATCTTGAGACTTTAAAAAGGAGAACAATAAAGATAGAAGGACCAAAACATCTTGAGCAGAGCCTAGGAAGAGAGACTTCAGGAGGCTAGCAAGAAAGGTCTGAGAGTCTGGTCCTAAAGTAGGAGACATTTGGGTGGACAGAAACAGGACTATTAGAGCCCTGCTTGTCAGCAACACATGCACCATAGTTCTTAGGAAAAACAGAATTTTAGACATGTCAGAACACTTGCTGGTATGTTTCTTAAAAGAGAGCTTCTCCAAGTCTGCCCCACACATGGCTAGGTGCTCCTGGAAGACAGCTTCTTCTGAGAAGACAAGTATTTTCCACCATCATTTTCTTTTCACAGAGGCATGAGAACAGAGGTGGGCAGAGCTGCCTGCCATGGAGGAAGAGCCAGGCAATGGCACCAACTGACATCAGCGTGTTTTTCACCACACACCTGAAAACAGGACGCCTCTCACTTAATGACACAGTAAAACATATTCTGTTCAACTTTAATCCTTGAGGACACAGCATCTGAATATCCTATGTATCAAAATGTCACTTCTGCATGCCAGTGTGTGGTTTCGTCTCCATGACTGTGAACTGGCCTGGTCTGCATTTTTTTTTGATTGATTTTTGTTTTTGTTTTTGTTTTTGTTTACAGAACACCATTTCCACTGAAAAGAACAATTACCAACAAACTGTTTAATTCTGACTTGTGCATTTGACACTGACATCTCCACATTCACAAAATGCTGCTAGTCACTTGAAGGAAAGATTCTAAGATACATGTCACCAATAATGAAATCCAAGCTCCCAAGTAAAAACGGACATTTATGTCTCTCACAGAACTCAGGCCTTATGCTGCTCCTGGATCCTTGCTCTACACACACGGGCAAAGAGGTTTATGCTCACAACCTGGTCCACCCAGTGAGGAAGGGAAAGAGAGGCAGTCCAGGCTGCCAGACCATTTTATTTAAGGGATATCAGTCTGGTTATACTCTCTAGAAGAGAAACTAGTCACTTGACCACCTACCTGTAAGGTAGGCTGAGAAATCTTCTCAAAGGGGAACATTATGTGCTTGGGTAGACAGCCATTACTGGCAAAGGTGGGACACGTGGAAAAGCCAGCTATCTCCTCCACCACAGCGAGAACACCTATCCACATAGGTACGTATGTACAGTCTAGGACAGCGGCCTGCTAATTCATGGATGTGGGGATTCAGCGTCTGTCTGGATGAGGAATGCTATCAACAAGCCCACGTCTGTCAGATGAATGGACAGGGTTACAGAGAGCCACCTGAAAGCACTTTCCAGCTAATCAATCTTTTACGTTCGTTATTATAATATACAATTTTAACCTTGTGATAAATTCATTAATCTGTTATCTCTTGTCCCATTGTGAATCTATTTGAGGAAGTGAGAATTTTTTCTTTATTATTTTTAGAGATTTATTTTATGTTTAACTATAGTGTGCATGCGAGTATCTGTCTCTCTCTCTCTCTCTCTCTCTCTGTGTGTGTGTGTGTGTGTGTGTGTGTGTGTGAATGCACATGTGTCTTTGAGCACCGCTGGAAACCACAAGAGGGAGTTGAATCCCTGGACCTGGAGTTACAAGCAGTTGATGAGTGCTGGGAGGCTGACCGTGACTTCTGTACAAGAGCAGATGTGTTCTTAGCCACTGAGCCGGCTCTCCAGCCCTGTAATGCCTTGGTGGAATAGGCAAGAGGAAACGGGAAAGAAGCCAGCACCTTACTGCTAATCTCAGAGCAAGTGCTCACTGGAACCAGACAGGTGTCATACGTGAGCTTTGACAGGCAACAGGGGAGTGCTGTTGAGAGTCAGGAAACAGCCCTGGCACAGTGAGGCTTGCTGAGAACAAATGAGCACCATCAGCCCCAGGAGAAAGCAACAAAGGGCCCCCAGGAGAGCTACTAGCAAAGCGGCTATTTCCCGGGTTTTTTCCAGGGCAGGTATATTTAACACACCTTCCTGGGTCCACATTCAGACAGAGACAAATAAGATGTACGGAATCTCCCATGGCTTCAGGTTTTCAGAAAGCTTAATGCAATTTCCTGGCTTTGTAGTTGTTTAATCTAGGCAAGTAAGAGGTTATAAACTCAACAACATTATGACTAAGATCAATGTGCTTGGAATGTCGAGTCTTGCCTTCCTGGGCGACTGACCACTAAGACTCCTCCAAGTTAAACCTACCTGCTTGGTGACCTCGGGTTAAAACAAACCATGGTTCTCTTATTCCACGGCTCTTGTCAGTCCACCCGCCAAGGACTTAACTCCATCATCCCTGCTTGGCATTAGTGCCTCCATCTCCGAAGGGTGAGACAGTATCACTAAATTTAACAGCATCTCATAACAATGTGGGTAAGCATGGTTTATTTATTCTTATGTGTGCATGTATATGATACATGTGTGTGAGTACAGGCCCAGTGGGGACATCAGCGGACAGTTTCAGGGAGGTGTTTCTCTCCTTCTCAGTGGGCTCCGGGACTTAACTTGGGACATCAGGCCTTTGAAGTCAAGCACTTTTATCAGCTGAACCATCTATCTGGCCCAATATGGATTTTTGTAGTCTTTGACTTTTTAAAACCCACTTTATTTGGGGTTCCTTATGTCTGTCTCTTCCTCCCTTTTCCATTCCAATCCCTTCCAACACCAGGCAGGAGAGAAAGTAGTTCCTTGGGGTAAATCCACTCTTCGTCCTCAGGATACCAGCAGCCCAGTCAAACAGCAAACCAGCAATGCAGCAATAGTGAAAGCAGCAACAAGGTCCAGCAACAGCAGCAGCAAGATTCAGCAGAAGCTTCACAAAGAATTCTCTGGAGCTTTTCTCTCTAGGAAGCACAGTAAGGGGATATAAAGTGTTATGATACAAAGCCATCTCTCTCTCTCTCTCTGCTCCTACCCATACCTTTCTAAAGTCTACACAAGGAAGTCCTTCAGCTGGCCAAAACCACTCACGTAAATACGACAGTTTTCTGTTGACAAGGATCACTCACCCCCTCAGGAGGCTGCTGTCAGCTGATGAAGATCACATGCCCCTCACGAGGTCACTATCAGCCATGGACAAAGCATTTCCACATCTCACACTTGAACTACAAAAAAACAAAAACAAATAAACAAAAAAATGAAAACAAAACAAAACAAAAAAACCCACATCCATACAATACAACCAAAACTTCCACCACAGATTTTAATCAGAAATTCTTTGTAAAGGATTTTCTTTGACTAGAATGAATAATTTGAATACACTGCTTTGGGCCAATGATAAGCCAGCCAGGGTTCCTTGATGTGACAGAAGGCTGAGCTGGGAAGCATTTGGACTTTGCCTCAACAGATGAGAGTCACATCAGTGGGGTCACATACTGGGGCAGGGAACAAGAGGTACACGTGGAAGAAACTACATAGCAAAATGATAGAGTGTTTAGAGAAACCCCAGGAGAGCCCTTCAAAACACCCAACAGGGAGAGATGACAGACTGAACACGCACCAAGGAGAGAGGGCTGATTCTTTTATTCAATAGTTCCATCAAAGCCAGACTGTGTGCTCTTGATGTCTATTTTCCATCCAGCCACCGCCAGGACAAAAGGGGGCACTTATGTAAGGGGAATAGTGTGCTCTAAAAGACGTCCATGTCAGAGTGAGGGGCCAATCGTGGACCCTGTTCCCTCTTCCAGACTTCCAATGAGAAGGACCAAATATGGAGGATGACATAAAGATGTCTGCAACTGCAGTTTGCAGCTTTGATGATTACCCTGATAGGAACATTTTAAACACTAGTGTTGAGGTTAAGGTAGAAGCTGAACTTTGAAAGTGCGACAGACTAGTGACTACAAAAGTCAAGACATCATCCCTTGGCAGAGCTCGAGCTAGCCCAGGCAGAGCTTGTGAGAAGAACAAAGGTGAAGAAAGAATAGCATTATCCCCTCCTTGTATTCTACTGCGCCCCACTTTTCAAACATTAGGGCTACGTCAAACGATGCCTACACAGACAGAGAGAAGCTGCCCCTAAAAGGCCTGGGGCCACCCTCAGCTTCTCTCTTGCGACCTCCTCCATCTCACCTTTAAATGAATATTGAGGTAACATTGAACAAACACAGGCTGGAGAAGTGCCTTTATCAATTATATAATTTGGTCCAGCCCTGATCCAACATTTTGATTTCCTGGCTAAATTAAGAAACCAATTTTAGGAAATTCTAAATTAAATAGATTTGAAATAAGAAGGCATGAAACATTTTTCTTTTCCAAACCTGGCTGCTCCTTAACTATTCACTCAGGCCTTTAGAGATGTGCCAGAGGATAAATAGGTACAAACCTTATGCAATAATTATCAAAAATAAGTTAGCACTTTTCTGGGTGGTGGTTCATGGTTTATAATTATGATACATACATACTTCTCTGTAAGTTTTAATGTTTTAAAGCAATGAAACTATTACTTGTATCTATACTTACATCTATACCTATATATACTTATGGCTATAGTGTTACTTATATGTACCCATATCTATAATTATATCTTTACCTATATTTATACTTATAACTGTATCTATGCTTATACATAATTATATCTATACCTACATCTATATATGCAGGTTTCATATGAAGACACATTTATCATATTTTTGAAAGATGTTTTTAAAAACAGAGCAGATCTCATTCATTTGTTCTTAGATTTAGAAAAAGTTTTCCAAAATAAGCATCTTTGGGGAATTCCTGCCTAGAAAAGAACTAGAGCATTAGGCTGCTAAAAATAGTGCGTAAGAGTTTCAAAGATCTTGTCATTCTCCTGACATTCAGTGAAAATATCTTAGTCTTCATTCTGTATAATCAATTATATATATAATCAATAGAAAACATTGTCCAATTAATACAGTTCTGATGAAATAAGAAGCTGAATGCTGGAGACAACATTTTCAATGAACGCTGTCTGTCCAGTGAATGCTCCTACACTGGAGATTTTCTTTAGTTTTTATGATTCTACACAGGCAGTGCAAAAAACCATGAGGAGAACCCAAACTTTCCAAGTGAATGATGTTTAAAGCCACGTGCTGTAATACATTCCTAGCAGGATGGTCTAATGATAATAAACAAAGGAAATCATGGGTTTCTAAGGCTTCAAAGGTCAGGTCTCAGCATATGAGGCCTTTCAGAAGGTAAAGACGTCTGCTTAGTTGCCAAGCGTGGGACACTCAAGTCTCAGCAAGCTTCTTTAACATTCTCCTCTGCACATTTATAAGCAGATAATTCACAGGGTAGATTATTTGTGTAGTACCCCATGTGCTGCGCGAGGAAAAATTCGCGCATGCCATCTGTTCACGTAGATTCCAATATAAATGATGTTTATGCACTCTGGATACCTGGGTAATTTGGCCCATATCTTCAACTGCTGCAGTGGCTTTGGGCTTCCTCCAACCTGGGACCGACGATGGGGGTGGGGAATAGTTATCAAACATCTCTTCATTTCTTTTTACTGTTTTAATTAATTCTTTGATCATTTCACCCAATGTGGTTTGATCCCATTCACTACAACTTCTCCACTTATCTTTTCACCTCTTTGCAACCCCTAATTTTGCTTCTTAAAAAAAAAAAAATCAGTGGCTCATTGACTCTAATACACCGTACATATGCTTCTTAGTGTGGGGATGCTCTTTGGACTGTGGTCATCCTGCCAAGAACCAGACTTTTGAAGTAAAGAAAATCTACTCTTCCTCCGACAGAAGCCGTCAACTCTTTAGGGTGGGGCTCACGAACCTTCCCACTCCGCGCTAGAATGCCGATCGTGGCTTGACACGGCGTAGGTTTCGGACAGGCAGCCACAGCTGCTCTGAGTTCATGAGTGCAGCTCATCACATCATGTCCAAAAGACACTGTTTTACCAAAGGTTCCCCCCCCCCGCCAATATCTGGCTCTTACAATTTTCCCAGACCCTCTTCTAGGATGGTACCTGAGCCCTGTGGAGATGGTGTGATACAGATGGCTTTTTCGCATTTGAGCAAATGGACATTTATTCTCTGCTCTTGGACCAGTTGTGAGTGTCCACTACTCAGAGAAACTTCTCTGATGACATCTGAGGGCTGTACCAACACAGGGGAAGAGAGACGTAAACCTAGAAGGCAGTCTGACGGGATGTCCAGTTAACAAAGTAATAGCACTAGGTTGACATCTGGGGTCTCTTCTTAGCTGTAAGGTATTCTTCTCTGCCACCGGAAGGTGTTTGCAAGCCGTGTTACACCTATTTTATAGTCTCGGCATGGTGCCTCCTTTATTTCTCTGCAGTTCCTTTGGGCCTCCCTTCAGAGTCTTCTTTAGATATTACTCTCTTCTCGCAGCACCAGACCACCCCACACACCATACTTTCATGAGTTACACAGGAAATCCAAGCCCAGCAAACATATCATGATTTGAGAGATTTCCTGAAGATGTGCAGGGCCAAAGGGAAGAAGCACATTGAATAGCACTGAGCACGATGGGGCCATTCATGTGTTGTTGTTGGCTTCTGCTTCCCAGTGTCCTCCTGTGGCTGTCATTAGCTATATCCCCAAGGTTGCTGTTCCTGAGCATGGCATACTTTCCAGCCTGAACTCCCTGGGTTAACTGTACAGGAGTTCTGGCATGATTTGGCCTTCTAATAGCCACTCCACTCTTTTCTTAGTAGGCTTTTTTCTTTCTTCCTCATTTCTAGTGCATGCTATTTTGGGCAAACTGCCAAATTAAGGTGTCCTATAGCCCCTGGCAGAAGGTCTTGTGACTTAATCTGGGCCAATCAGCAATTCTTTTAGCATTTGAATTGATGTTGCAAGTTCATCCAGACAGTTGCGTCCCCAAGAAACTGCCTGGCAGACTCTCTTGCTCCTGTTTGGCAGCCTTTCCTCCATTTCTTCAGCTTTGTCACTTCTCATCCATGTACTTTTGGGTATCGAAAGATACCCCAAATTATCCATCCTTCCTTCCTTCCTTCCTTCCTTCCTTCCTTCCTTCCTTCCTTCCTTCCTTTCTTTCTTTCTTTCTTCCTTTCTTTCTTTCTTTCCTTCTCTGCTTTGAAATATTTTTTTTACTTGCAAAAGATTTAACAGATGAATACTTTATACTTTTGACATATGAACATTTTAAAATTCCCATAGTAATCAAATATACTATAGTCTTTAAAATAAAAATAAGAAGTGGAGAGGGAAATCCTTGAGCAACCAGTAATAGGCTTTCCAGTAATAGGGGAGTGAGAGGAAGAAGCCTAAAGTTAATACAAACTGTACGTAGATAGAGTTAATTCTGCCCACAAAGGCTCTAATATTTGTCCAAGGTGGGCTGAGATGGTCAGCCCTGGCATTATTCACCAAACCATGGAGATATTTCCTAAGAATGAAATCATGGTTTTACATTCATTGTTCTTTGTTATTTATGGAGAGTCAACATTCCTTCTACTGTCTTGATGTTCTTTCTCCCTGTCACACGATTAACCAGAATAGCTTAATTGTACCTTCTTTTCAGCAGGAAAAATCCATTGTTAATATGTTAAATATTTTATTGTCCTGGTTTTCTCTATGGTTAAGTAGCTCCTAAATAGAACCTATCAGTCAGATTCACTGAATGCTGAGTTTAAAGGAATTTGCAACTTTTACCAAATGGTCATTCAGAGTTTGTGGCAAAAATTGTACCAGTAAGCCACAATTCCATCTGATCTTGAATAGTGATCTGTGGGGGAAATTTAACAGTAGTCTAAATTTTTTGTCTGGCAGCTATCTTCAAGGGAACATTTTGAGAAAAAGAGATATTTAAAAGATAAACATCTATCTCCGAGATATGGTCAGACATGAATGGTGGGATAGCAGTTGCCAGATAGAGCAGGTTATGTGATTTCACAGAAGAGAAAAGACATTCTAGGAGGAAAATTATGATGCAAAAGTATGATATATTCAGTCAAAGTAGAAACTGGTGTGAATCAGACTTCATGATGCTCTAATATTGTGATTGATTATCTTGACTCTGAAAGAACTGAGTCTTGCAGATTTAAGGCATTCTAAAGTGCTCTGTAGGTTGCCATGGTAACTCTCCAAAATGTGTTTTCCTACACTATTTAGGGGCATTTTCTGCTGTACCA